AACAGGGGGAAACAGCTAGTCTGGTTCTGTCCAAAGTTAACAAAAGCCTCTTACCATCACCTCTCAGACAAAGTAATTAACACATTATAGGTTGTATGTCCCCCTCCTGGCCTATTGTTTCTCCCCCCATGAGCAAGAGACACCTGGTGTCAAGCAGCCAAACTTCTGACTAGAAAAATATTTGCGTATTCATAGATTATGGATGTTTCAATAATGGAGAAGACATCATTTTTTAAAAATAATTTTAATGAAGAAATAAATATAAATATTATAATTTATATTTATTTATTTATTTATTTGGGCACGGTATGGTAGTATAAATGTTTTGTGAAATAAAACCCAAATATCCAATATCAAACACAAATTATTTTTTAAAGCAGGATCAGAAGAAGCAGATTTGATTTGTAAAAGTTTTCTGAGTTGTCAGCAAACCAACACAGTCCAACATAATAGAATATAATTGAGAATATAATATAATTGAATATAATTGAAACAACTAATCCAACTATATGGACATCCGTGGGGAAGGGGTAGGGTACTTCGATTCATGACCTCAGTGTTTCTAAAGTCTTGGTTATTGCCATTTTGTTCATGCGAATTTACAATGCATGCATGTGTGTGTCTGTGTATTCATTTGTCATTATATGTGTACCTTATAGGCTGCTTTATGTACAAAACTTACCATTAGTCCCAACGTTCCCCCAGCCAGTGATCCAACACTCAGAGGATGAATCGAAGGTGTCGTCGACGCTGGGCAGACTCACTGGGTCGACATTCGCTGAGAATGTAAGCTTTTTCTTCAGCTTCAACAGAGCGATGTCGTTCACGTAGCCATTGCCCACGGCTTGGTAATTCTGGTGACGTATGACATGAAGTATGCCTACGTAACGTTCAGCTCCCTTTTGCAGGTTGTGTGCGCCGACCCAAACGCCAGATCGACGCGCATTGAAGTCAAGCTTACTGGCAACACAAACACACACATGTTCATTGTTTTCTGCATAGATGGAAGATCATGAACAGCAAAAATCCCAACACCCATATTTTATTCTAACATGCAGGTAGGTCCAGCAGAAGTGGGACATGAGTAACATATATACGTATATAACACTGCCTTGTTTTTCCATTTGACTGGAAAGTTATAAAGCTATAAAAAGCCCAGCTGTAGTCTACCTACTAAGCACCAAACAGCAGACACATTTAAAGTGTTTCTTTAATGGCTTGTTTCTGCTGCCCCCAAGGGGCCCAAAAAGATCCGTTACAGCAGGTTTAAATAAATCTAACTGGCTGTCGCCTCATATTTTGCAAGCGCTGTCCCACATTAGCTTAGGAGACTAGAATGATTAAGTGTATCTAGCTGTTAAAGCTGCTACATCATATCATATTTCAGTGTTCAGAGATTTATTTATTGATTTGACAACAGTACACTTGTACTTAGTTTTTTGTTATATATATTGTTAATAATTTTTCAAAGGTACTTTATATTGACTATTGATTAAGGTATAATGGATACAAATGCCTTTTAAAGTACACAATACTTTAAATTAATAATAGTTACTGCCCCTAGTGCCTTGCTAATAACGTGGTCACTTTTGCTGAACCCCAACATTAAAGTCCATGGATTGCCAACGTGTTTTCAATCGTATTAACTTCTGTTGGGCTTCATTAAAGGCAGTATAGTGGCATTGATACACCTAATATGCCTACAGTACTCAAAGTTCTCATTACTATGGGTCGTTAGGGTCATGTGAAAAAAAAGACAAACACTTACGGATCCCAGCAGTGTGCAGCAGTCAGCACCCACTCACTGTTGAGGATGGTGCCGCCACAGCGCCACTTGTTGATGCCATCAGACGTGATGTTGAGGTGGACCATCCACGGCCAGCTGCCCTTTGCAGCATCCTGCCCTCCGACAATGGAGCTCCTCACCTCAGCCCCAAACAAACCTACAAAAGCAGCAATGTAAAAGGTTAAAGGTGTCCTGTAGAGTTTCTGGGGCAGTGCTGCAGGCAGTAATGCATGTTTAAACACAGTGATCAATGTGCAGCCATCACCCTTCGTTAAAGAAGTACAAGTAAATATGATTTATAATTACAAAGCAATTTTACTAGCTTTGCCATAATAGACAAGCTTTTGGCACCTCATCATCTGTTAAAGTGTTTATCAGTCAATCAATTTCAATTAAATTCAATTCAATTCATCAACTCTACTAGTAAGAGTTGTCCACAGAGTGATAAATCAACACATTTATCTTGATACTAGAATAAAGTTCTAAAAATGTCAGCAATGATGTCTGTCTGTCTCACCTCCGGTGCTGTGGATGAGTACCAGCGCAGTGAGAAGTTTGCGGAAAGCCATGGCTGTGACACAGTGGATCAGTGGCTCTGCACACTGCGAGGGAGCAGCTGCAGGTTTATATGCACAGCTGGAGAGATCAAATTCTTATCAGCACTATCAGCCTTCCTTTTTCCTCTCAAACAACGTGTGGAAAGTACACGTACAGTTTTACGGTACTGGTACTTTGCTTTAGTAATTCTCCTTTAAAGCTTTATACTTTTGCTCCACAACATTTTGGAGAGAAATATTCTGCTTTTAATTCAAAGATGTATCTCAGAGTTGTTGTACTGTTGGTTATAAGTCCAAGGCATAGTATTAGATCTTAGAATATGATCAATAATAATAATAATAATAATAATAATAATTCAAGAGATGATAATAATTATTTTTGTATTAAGATTTTGTCTGCTCAGACTACAGTCCTATATGTTGTTGTGTAACACTTTATCTTTACCTCCCTAATTTATAGGCTGTATATAAACACTCAGATTATGATGTAGTAGAATTTAGTTTTAATTTAGTCTTGTCCGCAATCATAACTCCTCATATGAATCATTAGTAATGATGTATAAATTGTTAATGAAAACTTGATAACACTGTATAATGTGGTTGCATGATTACACACACAAACAAACCCTTATATAAAGTAGGCCCATTTATTAACTGTGCAATGTACAAATCACAGTTCCCGGGTGAGTTTAAAACTGTTCATAAGATCATGAAGACACGTTATTATTTATAACAACAACAAGTATATTTTAATCTGTTATCCATAATATAATATGAAACTATGTAACATTATGTCATAAAGCATTTACACTAGTTATGGATGCATCATAACAGTGAGTTATAATTGTCCTTGTATTTGGTTACAACAATATGGTTTGTGTTTGTGTTCTGAACCATTTATTAAGGGTTTATACTGGTTATAAACGTTAAAGAGGGAGTTGAAAGGCGCAAATACAACCATGACACAACGCTGGTGGTGCTAGAGGCAGAGAACTGGATCACAGTTTCTTTAAAGCCAGCTGAGTTATTCTACTTTGGTATTTTCATGTTGTTTTTCATTTTTGTTTTCAGTTCAGTTCAGTTTCAGTTAGTTTAGTAGGTAGGCTCATTTCGGTCTGTTTCCGCTGATCTGACCACTGGTCGCTGAACTGAGACAAAGGACAATAATAATGGACATGGATTGATACAACTTTGAGTTACTTTTTAGTGTGAATCTATTATTATTATTATTTTTTTTCAGTTTAACAAAAATGTTTTTTTACCACCTCATTTTTGGTTGACTCATAATATAGTAAAGGATTGCCTTTGTGATATTAAACATACTGTAACTACATAGGGATAATAAACGCGTAACAAAGTTTGGGCTACTATCTCATTTTAGCGTCACCGAACAGGAACCTTTAGCGTTGCTTTTGTTTCCGCGGGAGTTTCTTCGTACGGAACACCGCGTTTCATGTGACGTCTTTAAAGTGAACAGAAACAGAAATAGGAGCTAACACACACAGACAGACAAAGACTAACGCCACTTGTGGAAGCTAATTTAGCTTCGTAGCATACTACAATGTATCCTGAGTGCTTGAACGGTTGTTACGGTAACTGTTAGCCCGGTTGCTCGCTGTTGTTTTGTTGTTTATTTTATCCGGTGCCGTTTGTAAACATGGAGCAGGCAGCCAGCGTCAACGCAGATCCCGTTCAACGCTCCGACAGCAATGGTGGGTCTGTCAGCTGTGTGTTTGACTTTACTGACAGATATCAGATTGTACACATTATTATTAGTGTCATGTGAGTCGCTAACGGTGTTGTTTATCTGTTGTTTACAGGTCGCTCCACACAATGGCGCAACTGGAGTGGATTTTGGTGAGAGTCCAGAAGTGAAGTGTTAAAAACCACGGCTCAAATACTGAGACAAATACTATAATGCTACCAGTTTCCACAACTACATTTAAAGTGTTGAAGATAAAGTCCGAACCGATGCAGCCCACAGCTTCCTGTTACTGTCTGAACAGCTACATATCCACTGTGAGACAGATGGAAGGAACAGAAACCTCCTGTGTGCTCTTATTGGTGTTTAAGAAATGAAACTGCTGACATCTTTTGTAGTTAAAGAAACAAAAAGAAGAATCATTGTTCCTTAAAAACGTTTCAGATCATTTTCAGTTTATATAATATCACAGTGCTTTTATACGATTCTGGCTGTTTGTTGTGCATGGTCAGGCCTTTATACAGGTTTATTCTACAGTAAGGACTATACAGAATATAAATACAGTTTAATATCTATCCTGAAGACTTTGATTACTGGAGGGTCTCCTTGGCCTCACAAAATGATCCAACACATGAACGAATCACAATGTATGTATATATAAATGTATGAACATTTTTTATTGTTCAAACTGCAAAAACAGAACTTAAAAATAAAAAAAAGATATGCCAACAACTTTAACATCGCTTCCTTTTATAAAATAGTTTTAGCCCTATAAACCGAAGGTATTTAAAATAAATGTTCTGTTGCACAAGTAAGAATCCCGCTGCTGTGCCATGGTGTTTTGCCCTGTTAAAGGCAGTCACTTCTAACTGTAAGAAGGTTACGCAGGTAACAGGCCTCCCGTCTCAATACAGCTGCTCAGTTTGCCCCGACGGAAGAGCTCTTCACGGCAAAAAAAACAATATGGCTTCCGATTGAAGAGCTGCAGCAGTTGTTTCAGTAATGCACTGGTTTGGTTGTATGGGAAAAATTCCTATCATACGGGAAATTAAAAGCAGTACATCGCCAGCACTTTGTCATGGTAGAGAAATATAAAACTATATATCACTATTTTTTGAACACCAACTGAAATAAGTGCGAAGTAGTGGTGTCAAAAAACTTGAATTCTGAGCCTTGTTTGCCAGTATTTCTCTCTTATAGCTCCTCATGTAATTTATATTTTTATAACTTTTTCATTTAGGAAAAGTTCTTGTAAAGACAACATTTAACAAACTCTTATGACTGAATGTGTTTAGTCAAAGAGAAGCCTCTCAGCCAGTGTCTCAGTTGTCAGTTATTGATCCATGTGAATCTGCTTACCCTGTGTTATCTGTCCCCTCTTGTGATTACCGCCTCAGGCTCCTTGGATTGTGCAACAACTTTGCGTATGTTGTAATGCTGAGCGCCGCCCATGACATCCTCAAAAGACAAGAGTCAGGAAACGCCACAGCATCTGTAAGAAGGCCAATTTGTACTTTGATATTATCTTTCAGCAGTGACCCTTGCTGTTGCTAAGGGCTTGAAGCTTTAAAGTGTGTATAGACATAAAGATATAAAGCAAATTCATTAACACTTTTTACCGGTTTCCTTCTTTCTCCCCAGAATTCACCCACCGTGGCTGTGGATTTCCAAGGTGGGAACAGTAGCAACAGTAGTCGCTACGACTGCAATCCTGTCTCTACTGCGGTAAATGAACATTCACTACACAACACAGAGTAACCTTAACCACACTGGATGGCAGGGAATTATTAGTTTCTCACTCTGAGGTTCTGTGAAAACGTCCAATAAAAATAAAATGAGTAAACAGGCACTGAAACTAAAAACCACCTCAGGTTTGTACAGGTGCTAGAAATCTGCTGCTGCTTGAAAACACCACATTACAATCCAACTGTTTAACGTTTGAAAAGTGCTTAGATTTGGGATAAAGTGCTTGAAACTGCTTGAAGTTGTAATAATTTTAATTAAAATTATGTGCAGCTTTTCACCATGGCAGATAATATTTTTCCTTCCTTCCTTTGAAATATAAACAGTAATGATTTAAAACCCCACTCTCTTGGACTGAGTGACAGCTCTGGTGCTTTTCTCCTCAGGCTGTGCTGTTAGCCGACATCCTCCCAACACTCGTCATCAAGCTGTGTGCTCCCTTTGTGATCCACAAGCTGCCTTATGGGTAAGACAGGTGTGTCAGGTGTAAATATCCAGCAGTCTTCCCATCACAGTAAGGTGGAGGTTACTTTGGTGCCTCACATTACTTTCTGCCACTACAATCTTATGTTAGAGATAGGACTTTATTCCAAATTCTCCTCTGTTTAATGCAATGGTGGGATTTTATTGAAGAAATGTGCAGGAAGTGTTCAGTTTTATGGATGTCAGCTCTTCAAAGTGGAGCCATTTTAGTACACAGCACCTGAAAAGGACTTCCTGTTGTCTCGGAGACAATAATAATAGCACCTGGGACACAAACATACAGTGTTACAGTATACAGTTGGATAATTGTGAGACAGTAGAGATATTTGATATTCTTATTTTTATGTGTCCTGGAATATATATCATTTTAATTGTTTGGTGTTTTAATTCCAAAAAAGTATGGTGGCACGACACGAGCTGTTCGAACTCTACGCGGGTGCTTACACGCACACTCAATCATAGAGAGTCAGTGTTGCAACATGGCAACGTTCTCACTAGATTTAGTGACTTTTCAGACCCTCTAAATGACTTCATTTCTAAAATGCGACTGGTGTCAAAACAAGGGAAAGAAAGAAAGATATATTATGTTGTAATTTATTCCCATGCATGCTGCTCAAACAGCACCGGGGTCTCTCCCTCTCCTCTTGTGCTGTGTGCTGGCAGTCAGTGGGTGGATTGGTGTGTTCCTATAGCTTACATTTAAATAGTTTATTTGAGCTTCTCCCTCCCTTTGTAGATGTTTTTTTTTTTTTTTACTGCAGATCGATGTCCATGTAATGAGTTTGTGATTATTTGGCTAAATAATAATGATAATCAAAGTGTGTGTATGTACATTTCCATCGCTGTTGCATTTGCAGTGATGACTGTTAGAAGTCAACAAGAATCTGTAACTTAGCCAGTGACTGAAAGAATAATGAAAACTGATTGTAGCCACACAGCTCGGGTCTTTTAAATGTTTTAGTAAGATTTAAGTGCAGGGAACAACTAGCAGAGCTTCCGTGGCAGACCAGAATGAGTCAATGAAGTGATGCTAGTTACTGAAACAAAGTTGCTAAACTATATTTATTTAATGTTATTGCACTACATGAATATTGAATATTGTATTGTATTGTACATTTCCTGCCTATTTCCTGTTTTTCTAGTTTTCGAGTGTTGTTCTGTGCCATCATGGCAGCAACAAGTTTCCTCCTTGTGTCCTTCTCCTCGGCTGTGTGGATGAGCATTATAGGTAAAGACGCCTTTTTTAAAAATTATTAGTAATTTTAGTCATAGCTTTTATCATTATTGGTGGTAGAACTTATGGTTGATTAAATTCAGCTCAGATCATTTGCCTCGGTTACATTTCCTGTCATCTTATCACAACGGCGTCATTTCACAGAACTATGAAAGCACTTTATTCTTATCATGACTCACTGAAGTATTTATCACCATGCTAAGACTGATCAGTGAATCGATATTTATTTGTGTAGTTACAGACTTCTTTGAACTTTGGACTTTAAGAGAAGGAGTCAAATTAATGTAATGAAGCAGTCAGTCAGTAGTAGTTGGTATATTTGTATTAGGGAGCAGTAGGTTTAAGCTTTGATACCCGGTCCTCTTCCTCCTCAACACATCCGATGTCATTGAGGACAACATCACAACCTTCCTCTAGTCACTGTGTTGCATGATATGACAGACCCCTCTATAGTCTGCAGAAATGTGATTACATTTACATTACAGTACATTTACATTACTCAACTGAGGATTCTGCAGGGGTCCCACTGTCCCTCTGAGCACTCGATGGACAGGGCCTTTTTAACCCTCTAGGAGGCCCTGGGAAAAACAGTGAGCTATGGGCCCTTATGCACTCTCTCTGCACTTCATACAAAAAATACAGTTGATGATACAATAGGAGGATGATTGATAAGTGTCTGAAAGCTCCCTGTGGAGTAAGCTATTGCTCTCACTATATTGATTTTATAGGTTTGAGTGAATGATTTTGGAAATAGCTGAGTTTGAGTAAATGTAAGGTTTATGCAGGTTTATCTGTTAATTTACTGAGTAAGCTAATGCACTGGAAATAGACCTTACCACCCACCATGGACCTTTTTCGTTTCAGAGTTGTTAAGCTGATAACATTAAAGGTTATATATATGATTATTAGAAAATGAATATAGCAGAACACAACTATTTGCTGTGTAAATATATTGACATATATAGTATCTGTGAATGACGTCACACTCCCTTTGCCCTGTTTTGATCCCCGAGCATTGTTCTCTGGGCTGGCTGTGGCTGCATGTTGGTGCATGTTGGTGCATGTGCGTCCCTTCGTGTACAACTGTTGGCTTTGAGGAAAGCCACTGAACTGCTGTTTGACCAAACCAGAGTCTGTGATTGTTGAAAAGACTGTGGAAAAACTAACAAATAGTGTTATTTATTTTCTGTTCAGTTTGAAGTGCGTTATACGATAATCTGCAATTATATGAATGTCATTTTAAAGTCCCTGTCAGCCACAAACGTGAGCCTGTGTACACTTGAGCCCACTTGAGAACTGGCACACTGAAAGGAATTAATGACTGGACACTGGCAGGCACAAAAAAGGAAGATCCAAAATTCTCAAGATAGACTAGGGCACTGCGTGTGAAGTAAACTGGAAAAGAGGAGGTAACATGATCTGATCTATGGGGGACATAAATGATTCAGGATTCACTTCACTCTTCATGGTCAAACAAAGGAATAACCCTTCTAGTAATTATCCCTTTTCTTCTATTCATGAGCATCTCTGTCCTTCCCCACCTCACTCACTCAGATGAATGACCCTCTCTACCACTGTGTTTCTAGGAGTGATCTTCGCCAGTATCAGCTCTGGGCTGGGAGAACTGTCCTTCCTCTCTCTCACTGTCTTCTTCAGCAGGTAAACACAAATTCCTTCCATAAGATGAGATGACTAGATCTAAATTAAACATCAGCAGACGACATAACTTTGACATAGCTGTACCTGAAGAGTAAGGTATAGTCTGGTAAACAGTGGGACATTATACAATACTGCATATAGGAAGCACTCTCAAAAACCATTTCAAAAGTGAGAACATGTTGTTAAAAGACAGCCAGCCAACATGCTTTACTGCAACTTTACTTATGACCATTTATAACCATATTTCTTTTTTTGACTTTCTGCCGTCCAGATAAAGTTGTGTTGTTGCTTTGTGATTCAGTTGTATGGAAGCCTAATTCTGCAAGGAATTAACCTGTTAGGAAAGACATAAATAACAATATTAAGCATAACTAAAACAAGTGATACTGAGTATATAAATTCTGATTGTAAATTGAAATTAAAAAAATTACATCTTTTTAAGTAAAACATAATTTTTTTTAAAAAAGGTCAAATATGACGGTGGTTGAAATAAATAAGGAATGGACGCAGTGCAAAACACGCGGCCCTTATAATCAGCACAAGCTGCTACACTGACCACTGAAACATCAGTCTGTTTTTTTCTGTATGCACGACTACGCGGTCCTCTAACAGGTAAAAACTGCAGAGAGCTGTGTAGTACATTAGTGCAGTCTGTTTAAAAATGTGCCTCACAGAGGCAATGTGATACACAGTGCATCCATATGTGGATCCAGTTAATTCATCAGTGCCAGTTAATATATTCCAGCAATTATATAGAGTTGGTCTAACAGTCCATGTGTGCGCATGTATGTGTATTTCTGTCGGTCATTTAATACACTGTGATGTGTGTGGGAAAGATATTTAGTTTGGATTGTAAACACTGGTTTCCCACCTGCCTCAGGGATGTACTGGGAGGATGGGGCTCAGGTACTGGTGGTGCTGGTGTTGCTGGAGCCTTCCTCTATGCAGGCCTCACCCAAGTCGGCCTGTCACCCCAGACTACACTGCTGATCATGCTGGTGGTCCCGGTTGCTATGTTGATTAGGTAAGTGTTAGTGTTGTTAGTGTCAAATTCTGTATTGTAGAAGCACTGTTAGAAATGTCCCTTTAGTCTCACCTTCTGGGCTGTTTGATTGCCCAAAATAATTTCCACCATTCACAATGTGATTAAATCCAAAGAGAGTGGCTGCTCTTTATAAATTCTGTTATTGGATTCCACAATTAATTCAAATGTACTGGCTTTCTGTCCTCATATTGGCCCTCGCACGTCTTTAGCTTTTTTCTCTGTTCATTCCTCTTGTTTTACTCTCAACACTAATGAAACCATTCCTCCTGTCTCTTATTTTTTTTGCTTATCCCAACACTACCACCAGCTATTTCATCCTGCTGGTTCCTCCATCTTCATTACCTCAGTGGAAAAGCAGGGAGACAGAATATGCAGCTGTTGGCTCGGAGGAGAGGCGGCAGCTGATGGATGAATCAGAAGAAGAGGAGCAGGAGAAATCCACCCCAGGTACATGTCCTGGGTGTTTGTGGGGTCTTAAAATTGGTGTAACCTGCCCTACAAATAATAAAAACATAATAAATTGATAGAATTAAAAATAATTTGACACTGAATTATAGTTAACAAATCCTCTGAAAGCAGGACTTTTAAAAATGCACCAATATATTGTTTTGTTAATCTAACAGCAGAGTTTAACATTAGCAGCAGTTGTGCAATGCTTTCATTTGGAAGGCCAAGGAGCAGTGCATTGCCTTAATCTAATCAGATAATAATGAAAGCACATGTCTGTTTTGTGGGGGAGGGAAAAAGTTTGATCTTAATTAGGCTTTTATGGCTTTTTATGTTTGATGATAGATGCACTGCAAACTCTAAATGAATGCATTAGACCTCAGGCCTTCTTGTGACTTGTCATTTATGAGGTCAGATAACCTCAAGGGCTCCAGTGGTTTTATCTTGGTTTGGTTGGAGGATGTTTATGTGTGTGTGTGCATTGGAAGAGATAACAGGAATCTGTATGTGGGTGGATTTGTGTGCGGTAACAGATATTAGAAGTTGCATGTTATCTGCACTGCAGTGAAAACTGATACCAGGTTTTATATGATAAATGCTTTAGCTACAGAATTAGGACTCAAGCATCAGCTTAGTTCGTATTTTCACATTCGATATTTAGAATTTGTACTTGATGTGTAAACAAGACAGCTTTGGGGTTTTTATTTTTTATTTTTTTCACTTGATGTCCACTCTTTTAGCTCTGTTTTTGGTCTTCACTTACTGCTCAGAAAATATCTGGGTCTGTAGCTGCTGAATGAGAGTTTCTAAAAGACAACAGCTGTCTGCTGCTGCCAAAATGTCAAAGTCAATCAAAAGCAAAAAGCTGGAAAACCAAAAGGAGCCAGTATTTGATGTTCCTGTCTGATCTGCCAATGATTGACAGGAACACATTTTTACAGTTTTCGGGGTGAATTACGTAATAGATTTTTGGAAATATACCCACTTTCTTTCGAAGAACAAGATAAGAAAATTGACATCAGTCTCAGTCTAGTAGGTAGCTGGAGTCAGTATGTGGTTAGCTTAGCTTAGCAAAAAAGACTGGAAACAGGGAAATGGGGAGACTAGACGTTATAAAATCCACCTACCAACACCTCTAAAGCTTGCTGAAAACAGCAAATTGTGGTGGAAGGGGGGAATGTGTGCTGGATGCCTGCAGGCTGTTTATTGATTTGGTTTATAATAATCTCTATACAGTATATGGATGGTGGAGTGACCAGACCACAGTTTTGTTTGAGTTACTGCTGTTCCTCAGGAATGATGCCCAGCATTTGTCATTTGATACACATTAAAAGGTTGTGGGTGTTCTCTCCCACTGCACCGTGTAATTATAAAGTACTGCTGTTTGTTATTGAATAACTACACAGGCCATGTTATCTTCCCCCTGAATGTAACAGAGGACAGGACCACCGGACCTCTCACCTTCACAGAGAAACTGCACATCATCAAAGTAAGTGTACTCTTCACGTTACATGAGACTTGAGTGTTTGACTGTTTGTTTGGTTACACTGCTATTGCTCTTGATTCCTGTGAGCAGGGCTTGCTGAAGTTTGTGTTTCCTCTGGGACTGGTCTACTTTGCTGAGTACTTCATCAACCAGGGCTTGGTGAGTTCTCCAGTGGCCTCTGGCACCACATCCATCTTACTGCATGTTGTTAAGCCAACTTCCTTCTGGTATGGGCTGTATGGACGTATGAGATGTAATGTAACACACTTAGATGTGTAATTGTGATCCTACTGAGTGACAATAATTATTAAAAATAATTTCCTTTTCCAGATGGAACTCCTATATTTCCCCAACTCTTCCCTGTCCCACGCTGAGCAGTATCGCTGGTCGGTTAACATCACTAGAATATTATTCTGAAGGAATTACTGTATTTAGATTGGGTTTGGTCATTGATTGTGTGTGTGTGTGCTCAGGTACCAGATGCTGTACCAGGTTGGTGTGTTGTTGTCTCGATCCTCCCTGTGCTGTGTGAAGATCAGGAAACTGTGGACTCTCTCTTTGCTACAGGTGGGCAATAGAGAATAAAGTACAAATCAGCTCAAAATGGATCTGTTAAATGTAAGGCTGCCTGGATCATGTTGTCCTTAGAGGTCCAGTGTGTAGGATCTAGCGGTGTAGTTGCAGATTGCAGCTCAGTCGCTTCACCCTCCCCTTCCAAGCGCCAAGGAGAAACTACGATGGCTTTGAATCGCACGGAAAATTTGGTTTGTCCTTTCTGGGCTACTGTAGAAACGTGGCGGTGCAAGATGGCAGGCGACCC